GAAAGTCCGAACAGCTAAGTGTAAAATGCCAAGCACACATTGTGTCCACGTGACAAGGGAAGCTGGATGGCCAAAGGTGCAACTTTGTTATAGATTCTGCGTCTCAGCAAACCCTTGTGAGTATCAAGGTTCTGGATCACAAAGGAGTGCCAGAAGCTGTACAGAAGCTCTTTGGTGTGACAGGATATTATGCAAGGTTGTGGGGACCAGTGTGGGTAACTATTGAGCTCATTGGCATGAAGAACAGACAGAAAGTATATCTGGCTGACATTGAAGACCAATGGATATTAGGATTGGACTATTTAATACCGATGAAGTGTGTAGTTAACTTTGATAAAATTACGATTGGAAACAACAATGGCCAGATTCCAGTAGTTGTTGCTGTATCTGTTGATTTGCATGTCACAGCACTTAAGTCAACTACAATACCCCTATGTCAGAGAAGATAATTTGGGGTAGAATAGAATAGAAGAACACCCCCAAGAAAGCCCAATGCTTGCAGAAGCAGTGGAAGACCCATCCAGGACAGCAGATTTGAAGATTGGAAGGTCACTTGTGTCAGGTCATCAAATAGTACCTATAACAGTGGTCAATTTCTCTAAATGTGAGCAGACACTTAAGGAAGGGGCATTGTTGGGTGTGTGCCAGGAAGTAGAGCCAGTCATTGTTAAAGCAAGAAATACAACCATAAAGAAAGGACATACACTCCCAGAACATTTAGCTGACCTCTATAAGAAGAGCACAGTCCATTTGTCATCATTACAGGCTCTTCAGGTTAGAGAATGTTTGGCGAATTATGTAGACGTCTTTTCGAAAGGTGATCATGACCTCGGCTGCACAGACCTCGTGGAGCACAGAATAAACACAGACAATCACCAGCCACTAAAGATCCTTCCGAGGAGAATAGCTCCAGCAAAGCAACAAGAGATGGAGAAGGTCATGGATGGCCTAATTAAGGAAGGGATAGTCGAGAAATCTGATAGTCCTTGGTCAGCTCCCATCATGTTAGTCCAGAAGAAGGATGGAACCCAACATTGCTGTGTGGACTTCAGAGCTCTTAACAGTATAACCGAAAAAGACTCATACACACTGCCAGGAATTGATGATACTCTTGATACTCTAAGTGGAGCCAGGTGGGTTTCAACTCTGGACTTGAAGTCGGGTTTCCATCAAGTAAAAGTGGCTGAAGCAGATAAACCTAAGACTGCCTTTAGTTATGGCCACGGTCTCTGGCAATACTGTGATGCCATTCAGGCTTAGCAATGATCCAGCAACATTTGAGAGGCTCATGGAAAGAGTACTGGAAGGCCTACAATGGAGGATAGCCATAGTGTACCTGGATGATGTCATTTTGTTTGCAACAACGTAAGTAAAGAGCGCAAATCATTGTGAATTATAGCGTGTGTTTAATTTAAAGTGACTGCGGAAATTAGGTGTATTGCAAAGTTGTATTGAGAAAGAATAAACTAGTTTTATTTAAGAAATAACTTGTATCGCTGAAGTTTTTCCGAAAGAATTTTTATGGGTAATTAACAAACGGCCAGAGGCGTAACAATATTAAAAAATATAATCTGTTGTGACACAGTCATTTCTCTGAGCTAGGCCTAATCTACGTATAGAAGCATAATTGGATAATACTAACGCTTGGCCTCACTTGTATGGCTTTTAACAATCCTTAGTTAAGCATTAAATTTATCTCTTAATAGCAAAGTAAACATCAACTTCTCTTAGTTGAAGTTATAAGCTTCAAATTCGTGAACAAATACTGTATGTCTGAACACTTCTACATTTATGCTCTCTGAAAAATTACTATTCTAGAAATTTCTGAAGTTAAGATTCCAAATTAGTAAACTCTTAGGTGGATGTGTACTTCAGTCATACAACAAGCGCCCAAATCTGCGCATCATAATAAAATAGTAAATTCATATTTACATCAAAAACTAAAAAAAAAGCAGAACGTTTAATGCAGTAACTGGTAATGAAATTAAGCCTAAGCCAGTAGGGAGCAGCCCTCATATTCGTCCCCATAATAAAAGCTATGGCTATGAGCCTATAACAGCGAAACTTCGTTCAAAAAAATCCATTGTTACAATGCTATATCTTCTTTACCTTTAAAAGAATTACAAGCAAGGATATATAGTTCATATAGCTTTCAACCGCTCTGTGAAGTCAAATAGTTTTCAAGAAAAGATGGTCCATTTATAATAGCTTTTTCCAACACTGCAAGTCGATTTTCAAGAGAAGAGATAAAACCAATTATATTTTATTTTTAATTTTATATTTTTTTATCTAGTTCATTAGGTATTGTTGTGTATCTGCTTGTTTGTTAATTTCCTGTGTAAATTCTTTCCGAGAAACTTCAGCGATACAAGTCCTTTCATGATTAACCCAGATTCTCGTCTTTTTAAACTTAACAACTTTTGTAATACACGCTATAAATCACAGCGATTCATATGCTCGATAACTTTGCTCTCTGCGACGACTGCAAAACTCACAAATTTACGGCTCACCTCACTACTGTTCGGTTGACTCAATTATCTATCTCACGCTGGCTTTCTTTGCCAGGCTTATATATTAAAAAAGAGGGCATCTCGATCAGACAAGAGTTGCCGGGCAAATTCATGATCCTTCGAGAAACTCTAGAGCGCATGCTCCCAGCGTCACGTGACTTCCGCTGTCGAAGCAGTATTTTCAAAAATTAGAAGTGTATAATAATAGTATTCTAACAACATTGTTTTCTCTATATCCATTGCTGACGACGCGTTTTTCTCAATCCACAGTCTTTTAGGTAGGTTGACGTACAACAAACACAGTAGTTTTCCAAACACTATTTATATAAGCTACTTGTTACAGAAACACTTTTATACACTCATAATTCCTGAAAATCTCTGAGAGACTAGAAAAAGAATGAAGTGCTTAAAAAAACTAGATAAAGAATGTAGTGTTTAGAAATTTGTTTGTAAGGACTAGTTGTTTTTTTCTAATTTTACGCAAAGCTACTTGAGGGTTATCTGCCCTAATTTAGCAGTGATAGACTAGAAGGAAGGGAGCTAGAAAACATCACCCACCACCAACTCTTGGGCTACTCCTTTATCCTTTCATTATAACATCCTCATGGTTGAAAGGTCGACCATGTTCAGTGACGAGATTTAAACCCATGACCCGTAGATTGTGAGTCAAGCGCTTTAACCACCAGGCCACGTCAGGCTTGTGTTTAAAAATATAACAGGTCTAGTACTAATGTCTTATGAGAAGAATAAATGGTATAATCCTACTTCGCCAGCTTATAAAATGCGTTTACAGCGTACAGAAGAGAATGGTAAACACTGAATGTGGAAATAAAAATCCGCTCTAGTTATTATCATATTTTACAATTAATCTAGCTATGCTGTATTATTAAAACATTGGTGATATTACGTTACGATTCATAAATGATAATTCGTTTACCAAACTGACGAACAATCATTGTTCTTTACGAGAAGACACACAAAGATGCTTCAATTAATGCTCTTTGTTTATTTTTAGCGTTTTGTCCATAGAGAGGAATCGAACTCCGCATCTTATCTGTATAAGTCCGTAAACTTACCATTGACCCATAAGGTGTCACGATTTTATGGTAACTGTTAGCATTAGCGAAAGGCAATCATTTTAAAATTATTTAATAATCATTTATCTAAAAAATAGTTCTCAGATACTTATATTCTCAACTGTTTAAGCGCTAACTAAACTTTAATATTATTACACATATTTCCTTAAAATGAATATAATACGATTATCTTTTCTTCAGAATATTTTTTTATTATAACTCTGTATTGCGACATACGACTTGTTCAAAGTTTTATCTTTCATATTTTGTAATAAAACACAACGTAGTTACTTGAGTATCTCGTGCACAAGTAATAAGAATCCCTAAACCATTGTAAAAACGTTATTTGGGGATCTGAAAAATGGTTCTTATAAAGTTACAAGTGCAGTGTGAGACCTGAAATATGGTTCTTATAAAGGTGCTTCTCAATGGCTCAGCAGTAACTCAGTGGACTCACACTGCTAAAAACCGGGTTTAGATACTCGTGGTGGGCACAGCGCAGATATCCCATTGTGTAGCTTTGTGCTGAACTACAAACAAACGTATAAAGATTAAAGTACAATGTGAGAGCTGAAGTGTTATTGACCTCAGCACATCTCTTACTAATGCTTTGGTACACAGAATTAAAAAATTCATTCTACCTTTCATGGATTACCATCACCAAAGTTCCTATATAAAAATAAGTTCTGTAGCTCACACCTGTTTCAATACAGACATATCCTAGTCAAATAAAATGTTAAGATAAGGGCAAGATGTTAAGAATACTGACCACACGAGAACTTTATATATATATACTGTAATAAACAAACTACTCTTATCTACATTAATAGTGGGATTTGACAGTCATTCTTATAGCGTTCCTACGTTGCCTCAATGGGGCGTGAACCAAGAACTCTAGGATTCAACGGCCGGGTCCGATAAGCACTGGCAACGTCTGTCTTTTATTGTAGCCCATTAAGAACAGATTAAATTGTTGAAGTGTAACATTTATCAGTTTATTTTATATGAATCAAATTATTGATGTATTTTAACACCAATTATTTACTATTATTATTTTACTTGAGTTAACTTCGCTTATCATTCCGAAGATAGAAGAGGAAGAAAAATTATATTATGATTAAGATTGTTTTTACTGCAGTCAGAATGCAATGTTTTATCAATATATATAATAAATATAAATAAAGGAAATATTTGTATGTGTGAAGAAAGTAACGTCTTACTTAAAACCACTTACTCTCCTGGTAACTAGAGGTAAGAGTGAGAGTAATGTCATGATAAAAAATAACAGTTGTATTTCTTATATATAAAGTGACTTCTTACCCCAAACCAGTTCTTTTTCTGGAAGCTAGAGATGAAAGCGAAAGTAATGTCGTGATAAGAAATACTTGTATACATATAGAAAGTAAGTTCTTACCTAAAGCCACATCACCTCTTGGAAAGCTACGGGAAGGGGTGAAAGTAATGTCGTGAGAAAGAAAATGACCCCACTGCATTAGAAGATGTGTGAAGTCTCCTGCTGGAACGTCTTTTTCGAAATGAATGGTAGTGGACACTAGCCTTGGATTAGGAAGCTCGTTTCCGGAAGAAGCTTTGCGGGGATTGGACACACCTGAAATTTAGTGTTCGTGTTTTATTCAAAATAATTACGATTTAAAAAATATATAATAATCTTCTTATTTGTGTTGTTCTTATCGAAATAAAAGATAAAAACTGTTGACACAGCAAAAACCCAAAACTTAATGAAATATAGTTAGTCTAAAAACAATTAATTTTTTTGTAATTATGAATAATATATTTACTTAATTTCAGGATGTAAGAATAAAAAAAATATATATCGACTGTTGTTTTATAGGTGTTCTGGTAATAGATAACAGTCGGATGATTTCTATAAGTATTGTTACTGTTTATTAAAGTTAAACACCAATAAAGTTCTTTATCTAGTCCCTAAGGGATTATCAGGAATTAGATAAATGTATAATAACATTATTACAACCACAGTATATTCACCATGCCCTTTGCCGATGACGCGTTTCGCTCAATTCAGAGCTCATCAGGCCGGCTGGGGCACAACAAACACAGTGAATAATAAAACCCGACACGGAAATGACGTACCGTCAGCGTAGTCAGGTGGAAGAATACGGTTCATACAATTTAATGCAGACCCCCAGTCATGGTGTTTGACATTATTACAAGATCCGTCAATCGTACGAAACTTGGTCCTTTTGTCACATTTAGTGTCCGCTGACCTCTCTACCACCTGCTCCTTAATGTTTTGGAGCTTTGTTCCATCCAACTCCAGGTTCGGTATATCCTTGTTAGCTACACCTAGTCTTTGTCAAATTAAAATTGAACTATTATTTTATACTCGTAACAAAAATATTTAATCAACAGAAGGCGCGGCAACAACAGCCAGAAAATATATTTTGTTATACATTAAGCATAAAGTTACACAATGGTCTATCTGTACTGTGTTCACCGCGGGTATAAAAAATATCCTTTTTTTAGCGTTATAAACCCTCAGACTTACCGCTTAGTAACCGTGAAAAGCTATATCTTAAGTAATTAAAAGAGAATTTTGTTATTTTGTAAAATTACCAAACAAATTTTCAGTCAAGCACGAATTTCTGATTAATAAAATGTGAAAAATATCAAAACAATAGTTAAATAGTAACATTTCTCTCATGGAGAAGAAATAAGAATAAATGTTTTCTGTAAAAATCTCTAAACATCTTTTCGCAATTGAAAAACAAATAAATAAAATAGTATTTTAATAGTTTCTTCATTGAAAAAATGCAATATTATCACATTTCCCAACACATCACAACAATAATTTCTATACACAACTAATAATAATAAGAATTAACGGGAAATGATGCGAAACAGTGATCATTAGCAGAGTAGTGCCATGATCAAGAAACAACTGTATCTGTCTGTATAAACATAACTACTTATCCCAAACCACTTCCTCTATATCATCTAATTCCTAGTAAGTCACATAAAGAGTCATTCATATAGAAATTCACCTAGCAGTTGACGGGACTGAAGGCATTCTAGATACACTGCATAGATTGCTATTGTAAGTTTTTTTTGTGTGTGTGCTTTAAATTGCGTCTGAAAAATTATTTTTCTGAAATGTTTAAAAAATGATCACCTGTTTTCTGATAGGTTTATTTTACCGACTGATCTCAACCCAAAAAAGTTTGTTTGTTTGTAATTAAGCACAAAGCTATACAATGGGCTATTTGTGCTATGCACCACGGGTATGGAAACCCGGATTCTAGCGTTGGAAATCCGCAGACATACTGCTATGCTACTGGGGGCCTTAACCCATAAAGATGATAACATTTCGATTGAATAGTGTAAGTTGATGGAGTTTGGAAATGGCAAGCTTATAATGGAGCCTTTTGCGATGGAAACAGTGCTAAAGGGCTATTGTCAAGCTTCAGATAGAATGTTACCAGATATGGTTACATGGACTATGACGACACAGAGAGGCTCCAATATCGAGTAAAGTATATTTATCAACAGAAGTTAAAGGAGCAGAGCGTGTGCAAAAAGTTAAACATAATTTATGCTACTTGCCACAACATGTGATATTTTTTAATGACAGGCGTGACAAGTTTTTGCCTTGTGTTACAACATACATGTGTGTTGCGGGTCGGCTACCTGTGTCATTAACTCCTGATCAAAGCAAATTATCTATATAGACTAGGACTAAAATTAAACCCAGTAGTTAATATAATATAACTGTCTAGCGAGGAATATGTAATGTCATAAAAAAGTATGACAACTAGTTTCTATTGATTCATTAGTGGTTTTCTGGTTGTTGTTAAGCACAAACATACACTATTGGCTACCTGCACTGCGGGGAATAGAACCCCGGATAATGGAGTTAAAAGTCTCCAGCTTGCCACTTCATCAGTTGCATTCCTTCAGTTATCAAGATTTTCTGTCGAAAACCTCTTGATCAAATATTTATAAAAAGTTATACGCAAACTACGCCCAGTTACGGTGGTGTAGTTAAAATACCTGTTGGCTAATGCGATAGTCGTGAACTCCAATAATTTTGTTATGTTCTCCATTGCAGAAATTTTAGGATTCGCTGTCATTCGACGATGATGTCTATTGAGTGCAGGACATCCAGATGACAAGGCATTTGTAGACGAAGGATCTGTAAGATTAAAATGTACAGGGAAAACTTAGTTAATCAAGAGACCGAGCGAAGTAATAAGCAACACGACCTAAAATTCCTAATAATGTAATGACAACTACTGCTCTAATTAATAAAAACTAAGAATTGATTATGAACAGCTAAATTAAGATTGTCTTTGGTCATAAATACATAGTAACTGCAGATGTTTTTAGTCTCCTCTTAATTTGTTCATTACGAACTGAGGAGTTCTAGTATTATACGAAAAGCTTATTGGGCAGTGACTGTGGGTGAAAAAGTTAATTTGACACACGTCTGATTTCAAGCCCCAGTGGATAAATTAAAAGGAATGTGAAAAAAGAAAGATTTGTAGGTAACTTGTTTCGATTACGGCTTTTAGGCCTATTGGTTTTCTATTACTCCGACAGCTTTCTGCTTTTAAACTAACTGTCAAACTCTCTTATTTCAATACTTTAAAATTGTTTGTGTTCAAGGTAACGTAATATAAACATATACTTTTAATGTCTATAAAGAGACGCTATTTTCATTTAATTTTTTTATCTTTGTCCTTTTACTAATCTTGTACAAAACTAACTCCTGTTATATTCAACACCACCAACCATTAACTCCAGCTATAGTCAATCACACCCACTGCTAAATCTAGCTATATTCAACAGCACCCAAAGCGAACTCCAGCTATAGTCAACAGCACCCACTGCTAACTACAACTATAGTAACAGTATCCACCACTAACTCCGGCTATAGTTAACAGCTCCTACAGCCAAGTCTAGCTATACTCATTAACACCCACCACAAACTCCATCTATAGTTAACCGCTAACTCCAGATATAGTAAATACCACCAACTGCTAACTGCAGCTATAGTTAACAGCACCTACCGCTAACTGCAGCTATATTTAACAGTATCCACTGTTAACTCCAACTATACACAACAGCTTCGACCGCTACCCCATTTATAGTCAAGAGCACCCACCACAAACTCCAGCTATAATTAACAGCGCACACAGTAAACAACAGCTGCAATTCACAGCATCAAACAAAAACTCTAGATATAATCTACAGCATCCACTGCTAACTCCAGTATAGTCAAAAGCACCAACCACTAACTCCAGCTATAGTAAACATCACTCATTGTTAACTGTAGCTACAGGCAACAGCACCCACCACTTACTCCATCTGTAGTAAACAACATCCACAGCAAACTCCAGCTATAGTCAACAAAACCCACCACTAACTCTAGGTACAGTCAACAGCACACACCGCTAACTTCAGCTATAGTCGACAGTACCCTCCACTAACTTTAGCTATAATCAACAGGGTCCACTACTAACTCAAGCTTTAGTCAACCGCACCTACTACTAACTCCAGATTTAGTAAACAGTACCCACAGTAAATACTAGATACAGTCAACAGCACACACCACTAACTTTAACTACAGTCTTTAGCATCCACTGCTAACTCCAGCTATAGTCAACAACACCCACAGTAAATACCAGCTATAGTAAACAGCACCCACTAGTAACTTCAGCTGGAGTAAACAACATCCACAGCAAACTCTAGCTGGATGGGTCAACAGTACCCATCTCTAAATCTAGCTATAGCGAACAGAACCTACTGCTAACTCCATCTATAGTCAACAGTAATAACTCCAGCTACAGTCAACAGCACCCACAACTATCTCCAGCTATAGTCAACCGCACCCACTACTAACTCCAGTTGTAGTGAACAGTACCCACAGTAAACTCAAGTTATAGTCAACAGCACACACGCCACAAAATCCATCAATAGTCAAAAGCCCCCACAGCCAAGTCAAGCTAAAGTCAACAGCACCTTATACTAACTCGAGATATAGTCAACAGAACCGACCACAAACTCCAGCTATAGTCAATAGCATAAACAGCTAACTTTAGCTATAGCCAACAGCACTCACTGCTAACTCTATCTATAGTCAAAAGCACCCATCAGAAATTCCATCAATATTATACAGTATCCACCATTAACTCAACCTATAATCATCCGCACCCACTACTAACTACAGATGTAGTAAACAGTACCTACAGTAAATACTAGATATAGTCAACAGCACAAACCACTAACTTTAGCCGTAGTCTTTAGCATCCACTGCTAACTCCAGCTATAGTCAACAGCACCTATATCCATGTCGAGCTATAGTCAAAAGCACCCACTGCTAACTCCAGCGATAGTAAGAGTACCCACCACTAACTCCACCTATAGTTAACAGCACCAACCATTAACTCTAGCTATAGCCAACCGTACCCACTACTAACTCCAGATGTAGTAACCAGTACCCACAGTAAATTCCAGCTATAATCAATAGTACACACCACTAACTCAAGCTATAGTCTTTATAACCCACAGCAAACTCCAGCTATAGCAAACAGAACCAACAGCCATGTCCAGCTATAGTTAACAGAATATACTGCTAACTCCAGCTATAGTAACAGTACCAACCATGAACTCCATATATAGTCAATAGCATCCACCATTAACTCCAGCTATAGTCAACCGTACCTTATACTAGCTCCAGATGTAGTATCCAGTACCTGCAGTAAATTACAGCTCTACTCAACAGTACACACCACTATCTCAAGCTTTAGTCTTTAGCAGCCACTGCTAACTCCAGCTGTAGTAAACAGCACCCACGTCAAACTCCAGCTATAGTCAATAGCACCTACAGTCATGTCCAGCTGTAGTCAATAGCACCCATTGCTAAATTTAGCTACAGTCAACAGTACCAACCACTAACTCCAGCTATAGTCTACAGCACCCATCGCCAAATCCAGATATTGTCAACAACATCCACCGCTAACTCCAGCTGTATTAAACAGCAGCCACACCTATGTCCAGCTATAGTCAACAGTAACCACCACTAACTCTAGTTATACTCAAGAGTACCCACAACTAAATCAAGCGAAGATCAACCGCTTCCACTACTGAGTCCGGTTCTAGTATCAAACTCCTGCTATAGTTAATAGCACCCACCACATAATCCACCTTTAGTGAACAGCACCAACCGCTACCTGCAGCTATAGTAAACACCACCCACAGCTAACTGCACCTATAGTCAACAGCACCCATTACTAACCGCAGAATAGTCTTCAGCATCCCCAGCTAACCCTAGCTATATTGTGGAGCACCAACTATTAACTCCAGCTATAGTCTACAGCAACAACCATTAACTTTAGCTATAGTCAACAGCACCCATTACTAACCGCAGAATAGTCTTCAGCATCCCCAGCTAACTCTAGCTATATTGTGGAGCACCAACTATTAACTCCAGCTATAGTCTACAGCAACAACCATTAACTTTAGCTATAGTCAACAGCACCCACTGCTAACTCCAGCTATACTCAAAAGCACCTACCACAAACTCCAGCTATAGTCCACCTAACACAAATTCTAGCTATAGCTAACAGCACCTACCACAAACTCTTCCTATAGTCAACAGCCCCAACCGCTAACTCCAGCTATTTTATTTTTACCACCCACTGCTAACTGCAGCTATAGTCAACAACACCTACCACAAACTCCAGCTATAGTCAACAGCACCCATTGCTAACTCCAGGTATAGTCAACAACACCCATTGCTAACTCCAGTTATAGTCAACAACACCTACCACAAACTCCGGCTATAGTCAACAGCACCAACCGCTAACTCCAGCTATTTTTATTTTTACCACCCACTGCTAATTGCAGCTGTAGTAAACAGCACTTATTACTAACTCTTGAGCAACTTATATTTGATCGAACTGTAGATTCTTTGACCGTCACCTTTATATCGCACACACGGTACTAAAGTACATAAACGGGTTGCGAACATTGAATCCTCGTATTCACAGTCCTGACACGCTACTAAAACTCTATGCCTGGCCAGTGTATATTGTAAAAAGTCAAGAAAAATCATATAAAGTAGCTACGCGTCGTCTGAGATGTATTAATAAAATATTTGGTAAATACACCCTACAAATTCATTATAAATTCACACAACTACACATTCATTATAGATACAAACACCTAAGTATTCATTGTAAATGCATATGATCTACACACTTATTAGAAATACACGGATTTACACATTCATCACAAATACTCAAATCTACAGAGTCACGAGAAATACACAGATGTAGATACTCATCACAAATACACAAATCTACACAGTCAAGAGAAGTATACAGGTCTGCATACACATTACAAATATGCAGATCTACACGGTCATCAGAAATACACACGATCTAAACGGTTATCAGAAATATACAGATATACACCGTCATCAGAAATATGCAGATCTACACGGTCATCAGAAATACACACGATCTACACGGTCATCAGAAACATACAGATCTACATATCTTTGCTAAGTATCTGTGATAAGTGAGAGAAAGGAAACATTGTTCTGCTAGATAGCACTGTGATTAGTGTAAGATGTCCACTTTGTAAGACAACACTTTATATCCTAGCTACTGTAGATCACATCTACCCCTTCAACACTTTCTTTGTATGGTGTCCACTTTGTAACACAACGCTTTACAGTCTAGCTACTGTAGATCACATCTACCCCTTCACCACTTTCTTTGTAAGGTGTCCACTTTGTAACACAACACTTTATAGCCTAGCTACTGTAGATCACACCTACCCCTTCACGAGTTCTTTGTAAGGTGTCCACTTTGTAAGACAACACTTTATATCCTACCTACTGTAAATCACACCTACCCTTTACCACTTTCTTTGTAAGGTGTCCACTTTGTAAGACAACACTTTACAGCCTAGCTACTGTAGATCACACCTACCCCTTCACGAGTTCTTTGTAAGGTGTCCACTTTGTAAGACAACACTTTATAGCCTAGCTACTGTAGATCACACTTACCCCTTCACGAGTTCTTTGTAAGGTGTCCACTTTGTAACACATCGCTTTACAGCCTAGCTACTGTAGATCACACCTACCCCTTCACGAGTTCTTTGTAAGGTGTCCACTTTGTAAGACAACACTTTATAGCCTAGCTACTGTAAATCACACCTACCCTTTACCACTTTCTTTGTAAGGTGTCCACTTTGTAACACAACGCTTTATATCCTAGTTACTGTAAGCCACAACTACCTTTTTCCATTATCTTCATAAACTATCCGTTTTCTAGCTGTGTATATAACTAAACATCACACTTACATTTTTCCATCATCCTTACAAGTAGTGTGTTCTCTGTCTCAAGTTTGTTACGCGCTTCTTCAACAGCGGCGTCTACTACACCTGGACTCACATGGTATGATTTCCTCTTCTCGTTGGACTCTGGGAGAAACGCAATATTTCGAAGACGGGAGAGGTTTAGCGTCATGTTGTCAACTATCTTAGTTTCTTCACTTTCTATTAACTTGGTGTACAACCACAGGGTCAAGACAAACCATGTCATGCTGAAAATTGGTTTTATTGATTATTTATAAGTTTAAATTTTATAGTTTTATCAACTCAAATTCATGAACTAAACTCCAGTTTCGTAATATATCTTGAATTTAATAATTTTGTGGGTTAAGAGTTTATAACTATTTAAACCTAGCAACTGTTTCATAATTACATCTGAACACTACTACGTAACAATATATCATTTATACATAAAGTAAAATACCACTACTACCAACTTTCTAGTTATATATTGATAGTATTAGGTGATAACGTATCATTTATGTGTTAAATAAAATACCATAACTACCAACTTTATAGTTACGTATTGATAATATTAGGTAATAATGCATCATTTGTATATAGAGAATATATCATTAATACGTATTTTTTATTTCGATATGATAAGTATGAAATGAATAAAATATCACTTATATGCAAAGAACAATAACTTACTTTCTAGTTGACTATGAACATTATTCACTGATAATATTGGAAGTAGAAGCGTATTACTAAGCTGTCATACAGCTATTATTGTTACTTATAACTTACCTCTAACTGTGAGCTTTTGCTATGTAACTATTATTAATATAGCCATACAGCTGTCACTGTTACTGTTGCTTATAACTTACCTCTAACTGCGAGCTTTTGTTAAGTAACTATCTTTATTATAGCTATACAGCTATCGCTGTTACTGCTAGCTCCTTCGGAATTATCCTTAACAGTTATGTTATTCTTACTAATGTTGCTTAGTATCAGTTCCAGCCCTGTTACCCGATGTTATTATTTCCTTACAGTCAGATAAAATAATAGTTCCTTTACTGTCAGTTATTCTGATATTGTTCCTAGACTAAATATTTTCCATTTCTTTCTTTCTCTAAATAAATTTTTTACCCCTATTATATTCTTCTACTTTAAATACACACTTTCCCCTACGTGTGTGAATGTTTGACTATATAACAAATAATAATATTAATACCGCCGCATGTACTTTCGTAAAAATTATAGATAAAGAATAATTAATCTAACAGAATTTTCAAAGGTACTGTATTTCAATAAAGTTTTAGATAAATGTTCAAATTTAACATATAAGCATGTTACATTTCCTTCTACGTTTTGTTATAATTTACCTTCGAGTTCTTCTGGTTGCCATTTCCTAGCTAAAAAAACGTCAGGTGTTTTATTGTATCATCTATGTCTGATATTTATACCCATCACTTGCTTCTCCCACCAGGTGGTTTAGTTTGATAAAACACAAACATATGTCTGTTGATTTAAATAGACAATGGATTTTCAACTCCAAATGTTCTTGTCTTATTTATTAAAAAAGAAAGAACCTTTTACATTCTTATTGATTACAACTCACTTATTCCAGCAAGCGATATAATCTTGAAAAAATGACTCATATTTACACAACAAACCTCTTAATTACTATAATGCCAAAAACACTCGCTCTTTTGATGAAAATGTTGATTTTAACTTAGAAATTAGTGCAAAAATCGTTCACAAAACACACATATCTGACCTTTCATATAAAGAATGCATTGGATTTTAGCCCAGAGAAAAATCTTAAGATTAAAATCTATTCTTTTTTCTCAGTGTTTATGTGTCACACAAAAATATACGTCTCAAATATTGAAATGGTGTATTTAAGTGTTTTACACTCACAAAAAAGAAACCTATCATTCTATAGGTATTTGA